TAAGGCTTTCTAGACACAACAGAAGCTTGGGCAAGCCAAATCAGCTTAGCATCTTTCTACCACCAACCTCCCCAGTTTATACCAACATGAAACAACCTCAAGATCTTAGTAAGTAATAATATAAATAGATAGTTAACACTAACTTTAAATTATCCCTTCCTTTTGAGTAACTACACATTTAAAAGGCCACCCTTACTAAAAGGAGAGGCAAAGTACCCTCAAAGGCCACCTGAGCTCCAGGCCTGTTTTTGGAGTATCACCATCATGGTGCTCACAGGACTTGGAACTAACCGGAAGTCCTCTCCTCTCAAGGCAAAGAACACTTTACCTGTGTAAAGGCTAGGTGCTGGGCTTGGCTTCTCACTCTATGTATTGCCTTACAAACAACACATGTCACACCTTCTCAGAGGTGACTGCCCTGGAGAGGCTGGCCACCCTGTCCAAGGTCATACTGGGAACGCAACCTAGGCACAAAGCCTGAATACTCCTCCTGCTGTAACGAACCAGAAATACAGTCACCAGCCATTCATCAAGCCTATGCACCCAGACTGACTTATGGGGAAGACCCCCAGAAGAAATACCAAACTCATGTATATTCTAATGCCTTTAGCAAAGAAAAATAAGCTTAAAGACCTGCTGAGGGTGTGGGGGGGTGGGGTGGGGGCGAGGTATGAGGAACACTAAATGTACAAATAGAGGTAACTGAATTTGGGAGCCAGACAGATCTGGAATATCTATTCAAACATTTACTGACCTGGTCTATATTAGTCAAATAAGCCTTTCTTTAAGTTGGCAATAACTCTGGGTAAATGTGGACAGCCTCCCCCCACCCCCCGAAGGACGCTGTACTGACCTAACACTGGAAGGCCCGCTCTAATGGTACCTCATCAACCTCAGGCCCCGCTCCAAGTCTCAGCCGTTCGGGGTGAAGAGCTGACTGTGCACCAGCCCTAAGATACACCTGCTCTGTCCTCCCTTCTCCTCACCCTCGTACTGCACTCACCCAGGGAATCCGTGAGCCTCAACTCTCTGTACAAGTTCTCTGCTCTGTTGACTTAACAGACCTCTGAACCCTGCGTTAGGCTCAGAACGCATCTAGTTCAGGTTCTGTCACAGCCAGCGGCTCTGAGACACAGCCCTGCCCCACCACACCCCCAGTCTATGGGCAAGGAAAGCAGATGCCCCGCTCAGGGAAGACCAGAAAACAGGGAGACTGAAGGCAAGCTTCGTCCCAGAGGAGACGTTCCATGAGTCTGAAGGGATCAACAGGCAGAAGAGAAAGCTTAGAAAAAACCATGAAGGTATTCAGATGATGACACACAATACTGCTAAGAAACCTGACCCAAGGTCAGATCAACTGACAAGGGCCTTACAATGTCATGCTGAGTTCTAACTTTACCCTACACACCACAGGGGAGTGAACATTATTTTTCAGTGAAGCAACAAGTGCAGAGAGATCACTCCAGTGGTCACAGGAAAGGTGGACTGGAGAATGGGTCAACTCAGGACTGGGAAGCAAAAACAGGCAGGAGATGATTCCAAGAGCCCAGGGCTCCCCTTCTCCAGAAAAGCCTTCTCTGAACTTATCGCTATGCCACACGGTGGAACATTCTTTTCTGACCCCAGAACACCTTACATATGACATTAAAATGAATTATCCAAGTGTGCCCTAAGTCAATCGTATATTCCCTACAGACTGCACAGTATCTGCCACACACACATCTGCTGAGTGCAGAAATGAGGGAAAAACATGTTTTTGCTGTAGTTGGGGACACCCTGGTGGAGATGCAGGCCAGGGCACAACAGGGTCTGGAGCAGTCTGGAGGGAGGATCTGAACTGTAAGGACAAATTTTAGAAATTAAGACTCAAAAATCCCTTAAAGGGACTGCAGGAGGTAGCTAACAGCTAAATCCAGGGGAATGTAACCTATTCCCCTAAGTCATTGAAAGGTCAGAGATCAAAGTAGCCTAATGAGAAGACCAGAAAAGGAAAATTTCTAGAAGAGAAAGGATGGCTAAGAGAGCTAATCAGAAGACAGGCAGGGAACCACAAAATGGTCCGGATGATCTTTGGTCTATCTGCAATCTGTTTACATAAAAACAAGGTGCCAGCTATGAATCCAGTTCCCAGTAAATTTAAGATAATATTCTTTAACACAAGGATGATTTCTTTAAGAAAAGGAGAAATCAACACAGCAAATACATTTCTCTGATTTTCTTGAGTTTAGTATCCAAATGAGGACATATCATGTACATAGAAAATGAACAAAATATGCTGCAAACAAGTGCCAAAATAAAGCACTAGATTATATTCATTAAACCTCAGTAACCATTAGCTGACAGTTTTGATTGAAATTGTTTGATAACTATTAACTGATGTATTGGGTTGGCCAAAAGTTTCATTTAAAGAACCTGTGGCCAACCCAGTACTTTTCATTGCAATTGCATATTTGAGTCTAAGGTCATGAGGGGTATTTATCAAAGGACCTTATCATTAGACCCTCACTGTCTTAACATGAAATACTCTACAATTATGTCTTGGCCATTTTTCTTCAAATAAAGAATGTATTTTAAGCATCTATGGGAGCATTGGTGGAAATGAGAATTTAGAAGCTGATTAAAAAAAAAAAAAAATACTCTCTTGTGAGGACACGAGGTCCTCTGTGGATAAAGATAAACAAACATGACCTCCTACACGAATGTTTGCTTTGATTAGAAACTTAAAAAGTCAGACTCAATTCTTTTCCTACTTCCCCCTGGTGCCCCAAAACTTCATAAGCATAGCCTCTCCCTCCAAAGAACCCCAAGAACTTCAATTTGACCTCACATTTTGTAGATCTGGTGATGAAAATTATATGCAAAACCAAATTCTGACAAGCATGCACCCTAATTAGGATATTTCCAAATATATTTCAAAATATCTGAATAATTTTGACTTCAATTTACAAACTATTCAATAAATTAGATCATTAGGACACCAGGTTACAAAGTTAGCCATTAATCCAAATTACAATTTAGTTTACAATGCCCTATTATTAGAAATCATTTAAATTACTCAAAATACTCAATTCAGACTAGCATTCTCAATTCATGGATGTCCGTTAAAACCAAAAGAGCACAAACTCCGTACTTGTTTCTGTATGCTCTTCACAAGTTGCTCTACTACTGCGCTGCACCTTCACCTTTTAACTGTGTGAATTCAGTGCATGAGTGCTGGGAATCCAATGTATTCTGTATCGGCACTACTTCATAAATCTATCAAAGTGGAAGGTTACTTTTTAGATAGCTCTGAAAGTAAACTTTTTAAAACCATCACAATTTAAACACAAGTCAAAATTATAAATAGTACCTTCCTAAACTTACACTAAAACTCCCAAAGTTCAGTAAAATAATAAATCACAAAGTTTAACAAACTCAATTTAAGAAAACGTAATGGGAGTTGGAGAATATAATAGATGTGGGAGGTGGGCTGCTGGCTTGTCCTTTTTACAATGTGTACAACTGCAGTAAAGATTTTATAGCAAGAGTGGCATTTATGTTTCTCAAAACTGTCTTCTATAAGAATATAATACAGGGGGGAAGAAAAAAGACTCTTAGAAGTATGGAATGAATCATAAATCCACTGGATGACAAAGAAAATCAAAATGCTTAAGGAAACACAACTACATCAAATACTAACATGCACTACAATTAATCTGACAAGTTGTACATGTCTAGTAATTTTTTCCAAACTTAATGGTAAAAGATGTGAAACTCTTAATTCAATAGAACAGATCAATCTCTATTTTGCCTGAGTTTCAAAAATTCCACTATGTTAGAAACAGCAAGCAGTCTTAACTACTGCATCCATACATCATGGACTTTTTTGCAATAAAATGTTTTTGTGTTTTTAACTCATCATAAACTCACAATCAGGACAGGGAAGAATAACAACACTTTTCCCAAGTCCATGTTCTGAATGGCGTTTTAGGTATAAAGAAGCAATGCTTGCCAAAGAGAAAACAAATCTCTGTAAGCATTAAAACTTCGATGGTACAGAAGCTTTTTGTATATATCCCACTTCTTATTACCAGGTTACTTTATTTTAGATGACCTACACTGGCCCAGAAATGTTAACTTTTAACAAGGCTCAGGACCAAACTCACTAATGACTGCTATCTGCGTAGTCACTTGCACAATCCATGTTTTCATCTTGGCTTCAACACCAAGTCTTGTTATTCTGTGACTGTATTTTTACAACAGTATTGAATGACCTATAGAATACCTCTCCCACTTCTATCTGGAAGCTTGTATTAGAGAACAAGCAACAACAGACTTACTGAGTACATTCCCCAGGCTTCTCCAGTAGGACTTAAACCCTTCAGCCAAGAAGGCCATCTGACAGCAGGTCTGGCCTGGGGAGATGGAGATGGACTTGTCCTCTGACGGTCCTGACTATCAAGCAAGGTCCTCGGGACAGCAGACGTAAGGAAAGTCAACCCAACTATTCTCACATCTGTCCTCTCCTTCTCGGGTCCATCAGCACTCACCCTCTGCAGGCACACTCAATAACCTAAGCCAACAAAGGGAGTTCCCATGAGAACTCCCGCAGGACAGTTACCTGCCTTATTTGCCTGTCACTGACTAGGCTCTCCAGGCCATTATAAATGCGACAGAATTCTTAAGACACAAAAACTTCCTCTGACTCAGAAGAGTAAGAGAGTATGTACAACAGAAGTGTAAAGCAATGAATTCTAATTAATGTTGCAAAAGATGCAGTTATTGTAACACCAATCAGCTCAAACTAACTTTCTAGAAACAGTTTTTAGGATAGGCTAGCTAACATTCAAAAACTGCCCATGTAAGTTCTTAGCTTACACTCTATTTGAACATTTCTAGAGCAAGCAGTTACTATCACAGACAAAGCAGCCGGTGTATCTGGGTCTAGCCTCAGTGTGAAGCTGGGTGCACAGACACACTCTTAAGCATTTTTCCAAAGAAATATGTTTAAACGGCTTTACCATGCAGAGCTATGGCTTCCCGGAAGGGTTGCAAATCAGTCTCTACAGATGAGCTAGTTTCCGTTGGAGTAGCTCGGTTAGGGGACACTACAGTCAGTCTTGGGGGAGCTCTAGAGTTTCGTGGTGGAGGAACCTTTCCACACAGGAAGCTGATCAAATCTTCTCTACGAATAGTTCTTCTGCGCTTTTTAACCCAAGCCAACACATCCTTATTGCGTCGCTGATAGCCAATCTGAATTCCAATATCAAAACTTCGCTGATGAGTATCCACGCTTTCTGTTAGAAAAAAAGAAGAAAAAGATACATGATCATCAGTAGAGCCAAGGTGCCTTCCCTCCTACAGAAAACCATTTTACAAATTCACCAAAATGAGTATCAGTAAGTAGGAGGCTCTTTAAGTCTATCAGTAATCTATTCCACTGAACTTCATTCATGTTTAAAATGTTACACATGACACCTAATCACAACGGCCTAAATTCAGTAAACACATCACACATTCCTGGAACTTCTGTCTTGTTCTTTAAAAAAAAAAAAAAATCAGATAAAAAGCAGGACTAATTATTAGCTAAAGTATTACCATTTCAGTGTTTCCTTAAAAAGCTTCCTTAATCTAAGCAACCTAGCTTATTTAACAATGCTAGCAATGGGTAAATCACTAAACGCTTACTGGTACTCTGCCCAGCTTCACCCGAGAAAAAAGGTACACAAATGCCTTGCACTGCTGTGCCCTCACTGCAACTGCGGAAACGGGCAGCGGCGGACCACCGCAGAGCTCAAGGCCTGGAATGTTCCGTCCAGCCTGTGGGTCTCAACCACCAACTTACACTGCCGTGTCTCAGAAACTCTACACAGGCGCATTCATATCCTTCAACAGACGACTAACACTGCCACCCATCACTCGGGTCGTGCTCTTCTTGCGAGTACTATATCACTTCAGATACGTACTCCTAGTGACAGGCTCAGCACCAAGAACTGGGAACACTGAAGCAGGAGCAGGGCTTCCAGTGGTCAAGAATCCACCTGCCAACGCAGGAGACGCAAACAACGTGGCTTCAATCCCTGAGTTAGACGATCCCCTAGAGGAGGAAATGGCAACCCACTCCAGCCTTCTTGCCTGGGAAATCCCATGGATAGAGCCAGAGGAAATCCCACATGACAGAGGAGAGGGGTCACAAAGAGCCGGACATGACTGCACACACAAATACACACACACACAAAAGCCGTAGCAAATATCTTAAGAATTTTAGAGAAAAATAATACTGACTGACTAGTCACCAAAACCCAATAGCACTGTGGAAACAAAAAGCCACACTCATTTTTCTAGGAATGTTTTCATTCTGCTTCCAGTTCCCAACAGTTTTCTTAACTTCTAACCATGCCCAAAAGGCCCTGTCCCAAAACCTCTCAAACTAGTCTCCTCACCTCCCTGTAGACACTGCCCCCTGTACACACTAAACCCAAATTTTCAGTAAAATGAGGCCTGTCCCTAGACAAAAAAAGAAAAAAAAAATCATGATGCCTGCCCTTTAGTGGCTTTACAGCTGAAAGAAAAATACCTGGTAATTTAAGTTACTGTAATTTATTTTTAGTTGAGCTGTTACGTTAGCAGGAAAATCACTAATACATCTTTAACAAGATGTAACTAATACATCTTTAGAGAAGATGGTTCCTTTCCCCAAGTATGAATTCTCACTTAACACACAGAATCATTCCTCTATTACTTTTCCTGGCTTTGATTTTAATTCTATCTGCTATATCTAAAGTAGATGCTGAAAGGATAAGCAAACCAGTGAATAAAGAGCTGTGTCCGAGAAAGATAACAACCCAAACATCACAGGGGCTCCCAAGCTGTATGAATTTGCATTATTAAAAAAGGTGGGGACTTCCCTGGTGGTCCAGGGAGTAAATCCTCTGGGTTCCCAATGCAAGGGGCCTGGGGTTCATTCCCTAGTTGGAGAACTATATAGATCCCACATGCCACAACTAAGACCTGCACAAATAATTAAAAAAAAAAAAGGCAACAGGGTAGCACAAACAGAACTTTATAATAAGGCCTATTCTTTAGCAGATCATCAGTTTTGTTGCTAAAAAGAAAAACGGCACAAGCTGGTCATGGGAGCACTCTAGAAAATAACAGCGTCCATCACCGCTTCCCACCTTACAGACACGAACGCTGCTCCTGAACAGTTTCTGCTACTGCTCGACGCCAGAGTTAGTGTGAACCAGTGCCGCGTTCTCCTTTTATCATCGACAAGGCGCACACCCCATTTAAAAGTCCATCTGCAAGGATAAGTGCCTTCCCAGCTCTTAATCTTCAAGACTCAGATGAAGCCAACCTTAGATAAAGGGTGGATAATCTCTAAAATGACCTTGTAAGACTGCATCTAGATGCTAAGTGATTGTGAAAGAGCTGGAAGCACTTTTCAGAGAAATTAAGTTATGGAGTAAACTAAACCCACCCCACTCGACCACAAAAACGAGGGCAGCTGTCCAGTGTGGTGCATCTACAAGAACCAGGTTTCTACAAACCTGCCCCAAGAGCATCGTTGTAAACAGAGAAGTTTCTGTTTCCACAAAGAATGACCCAAGAGATTTTATTTTTCAAGAACCAAATGGGGGTAAGCCCAGAACTCGAAGTAGAGGGAAAAAGCTGAAAGCATGAAAGGGGTACAAGAAACAAGTCTGAAGCAAGCACGGACAACACAAAGTAAGATGAACCAGGCATGTAAACGTACACCTGACAAAACAGCGAAGAAGAAAGGCTGAACTTGATACAAAACTCAAGAGCCAAAGGAAGGAACCACATGAGGCGGTTTTTAAAAACAAAAACCTGACAATCCTGGGAATAAAGTGCTGCGATTTGTTCTGATTGAACACATGAGGAAATCCCAAAAGTCAGGTCTGCAAAGGGCTGATGCTTTCATCACAGAGCTGAACAAAGCTGGAAAACTCAATATTCGAAGTTTTAAAAGCAGTTATGTAACAAGCTGGGAACCTCTTAAAATACTGACCAATCATTTCATCTCCAAAAGTTCTGCACAAGTCTCAACATCAGAACCACCCAAGAACACACTGGGCACTTTGTAAACAGACTCTTACAGATTAAGAGGTGCAGGAGGAGAAAAGCAGACTGAACATTAATGTCTTCAGGTACATGCTTTTGCACTGTCTGGGCATAAATTTGGTCTTACACCATTACAGCATATCCTGAAAGCCAAAGCCAAACACTGCCACATAAATTAATCCAATCTCAGTCATTTCCTTAAACCAAGAATATCATGTTGACACTATAGTTCTTTAACACCATAAAGAAGGCTGAGCGCTAAAGAATTCGAACTGTGGTGCCGGGGAAGACACTTGAGACTCCCCCATGGACTGCAAGGAGATCAAACCAGTCAATACTAAAGGAAATCAACCCTGAATATTCACTGGAAGGACTGATGTTGAAGCTCCAGTACTTTGGTCACCTAATGCGAAGAGCCGACTCACTGGAAAAGACCCTGATGCTGGGAAAGACTGAAGGCAAAAGGTGAGAAGAGGACAGCAGAGATGAGATGGTTGACTGGCATCACTGACTCAATGGACATGAATCTGCACAAATGCCAGGAATAGTGGGAGGAGAGAGGAGCCAGGAGTGTTGCAGTCCATGGAATGGAATATATAGACATGACTTAGCAACTGAACAAATGCTGAAGAATTTTGAAGAGTTACTTGGTTGAAATGGAACCTTATCACATTCTGAACTAAGCAGAAGAGATAAAATGCTTATTGGAGAATCTTACGAATAACTAGATTTTTAACCACAGGTTACTTTAGGGTCTAGTAGGACAATAAACACTCAAAGATGGCCTCCAGAAAGCTCTCGGCCAAAGACTGCTTTGAATACATCTGAACTTTGTCAACTAGACCACCAAATTCTAGAAGTGCAGAGCACAGAAAGCTGTGGACAGTCTTGTGTCCAACATTGTTTTACTTATGCCAAAGCCACTGTAGAAAACAGCCATAGCGTGAAGGTTAAGGAAAAGCCCAAGGGCATCAGAATGTCAATCTAACCTTTAATCACAACACATTCATTTCCATATTCAAGAAACAATCTGATTCATACAAGAAACAGTAGACATCTTTGCTTCGTATTAGAGTTTTTACATTAAGTAGCTGAAGTAATAACTAAAGTGATAGTGGAAGACAGGGAAGCCTGTCATGCTACCATCCATGGGGTCGAATAGAGTCGGACACGGTTTACCAACTGAACAACAAAAGTAGCTGACATTGATTGAACTTAAAGTGTTTTTATTAGTCTCAATTTTCCACCACTAGCAAGGGATAGCAGTCAAAGGATCAATGATTCTGAGATGAAGACCCAATACAAAACTTTGTTACATGAAACAGACATAATGAGACTTCATATGAGTTAACCAAAGCAGATAGCCCAATTTCATAAACAAGGAATTGGAACTGAGGCTCAAAGGGCCTCACCCAAAGTTAGACAGCAAAAGTTCTTTCTACAATAGATTTCTTCCTCAACAACAGAGAAGCCATCTTCCATTTCCTTAGAGGACCTACAAGCCAGAAAATAGCAGATAGACCAACGCACATTTCCACTAACAACTACATAACATTTGAACTTAGAATTAAATCTGCACTAACCAACTACTCTACTCTAGGAAAATATATATATATTGCCTGTTTCATTAGAAATAAATTATGAGTCATGTCCAAAAAAACCTGTTTTTCAACTTTTTTAAGGAAGTAATTTCTATATATTCAGTAACATAGTACCCAAAATAAACACCAGCTTCTAGGTAACTTACATGCTGACTTAAATCCTCACCTATCAAAAATGACAGGACTCCAGGAGGATGAGAGTGGCCTCACTGCCTGCCATCCAGTCTGTGTCCTCCCTCTCCTAAAGGTATTCCACATCTGTTTGGCTAGCTCTGGGGAAAGTTTCCTCCACGTTGGCTCAAGTGATGAAACGTTTGGTTTAATCTCAAATCTGTACAACCCCAAAACTGTGGCTATTCTACCGTGTGATTTTTCAGGCCGGAATACTGGAGTGGGTTGCCATTTCCTTCTCCAGGGGCTACCATGCTGACACTAGCCTAATGACAAAGCCCAGAGGGGCAGGCCCACACGTGGGAGGACAGCGCTGCCGAGGAGGAAGGCCTGAGCCCCCGGGTGCAGTCAGACCCCCCACCCTCAGGCTTCAAGCTGGAGAGCAGCCCATCTGCGTCCGGCCTGACTTCTATCCTCTGGTCTCTGCAGCCAAAGCCTTCTTTCACCGAGAAGTTACACCTAAGAAACCAACTTGTCTTCTGTAAACCTTCACAGAGAAACAGTAACAGCAATGACTGAGACTGCTGCTTAACGGGACTCTGGGTATTCAGTCTTAATCCATACGAAGATGTTTTGAACACTGTCAAAGTAAAAGTGAAGTCACTCACTCCTGTCAGACTCTCTGCAACCCCATGGACTGTAGCCTGGCAGGCTCCTCCATCAATGGGATTTTCCAGGCCAGAATACTGGAGTGGGTTGCCGTTTCCTTCTCCAGGGGATCTTCCTGACCTAGGAATTGAACCCAGGTCTCCCACATTGCAGGCACTCTTTACTGTCTGAGCCACCAGGGGAATCCCCAACAGTCTCAAAACTCAATGGTTTTTTGTAGCAGGAGAGTTACAAACCAACTCCAAAGTCAAAACATAAGCTCAAACTTCAGTATCTGCCTGCAGGTAGATGATACTTTCTCTGACCAGTTATTTAAACACCCTTTGTCCACAAATTTTCAGTATGTTCTGTTCACTTTAGTTCACATACAAACCCAAGAGGGTCACACTGAAGTGAGAACAACATATTATAGAGGATCTGGCATCAAGATGTCTCAAAACCAAGGACTTTAAAGGGCATCCTACCGTTTTTCTCCCCTGTCAATTCTATTTACATTTCACCCTTTTAGGGAAAGATGAAGACACACCACAAATTTATTCCAACAGAAGGAAATTTCTTCCCTTCATGTAAGCACAGCCCACAGCCAGAAACATCATCTGAAAAACAGGACCAACACATAGTCTGTGACCACCAACACAGTCCTCGCTTGAACACTCACTACATGCTATACTAAGAGCTTGGTTGCTAAGTTGTGGGTACTTAAACCTATTTACAGTTGAGAAAATGAAGGCAATTATAGTGAAGTGGTTTTTGTTCCATTATCTGTCTCCAGGGTCATACAACTAAGTACAAACAACAGGCTAAAATCTGAACTAGAATCATCATGGAGAGGACACCATGATAATGCTCCTGGCCTTCTTCAAGTACCGCTCGATTCACACCTTGAGGACAAAAGCTGTGCAAGGAGAAAACCACAGATGGCTTTAATATAAATAATATCATAAGATCTCAACATATACGGTAGAAGTCAGTATGCAACTCAAGTTTCAGACACAGTTTTAAAATGTGGAGGAGCTTAATGTAAGACAAAAATCAGAAAAGACACAATAAATCCAAGAGCAGTAACAAACAAAGGGTGAGAAGCGGTGCAGGCGAGCACTGGCTCCCAGGCAGCTGCTGCAGCGCCCACCTCCGATGACCACGAGGCTCCACAGCACAGCTCTGTTCTGGAGAAGAGAGCCACCAGCGTCAGCCTCCACTGACAGCAGAAGCAATTTCGAATTAATGAGTCAGGAGAGAGAGAAACCAGTCAGCAAGGAAACGGGAGGTGGATTTAAGAGGCAAACAGGCTTGACCAAGCAGTTCTCAGCTAAGCATCAACCTGGACTAAGTTAAAAACCTTAGTAACTTCACTCCCTTTTAGTTGTAGGTATCAAAAAAATGTACTAAGCCAGGGACACAACCCCACTGAATATTTAACAAACAGCACTTCCTTTAAATTTACCAAGTCAAAGTAAAAACAACCACCAGTCATCAGAATGTTCTTCCCTTTTCATCATTCCAAGGATGCCCATGTCTGAGCCAACTTAGTATGTGAAGTGGGAGGAAGCATGCACTCCATTTCACTGAGTTCTGTCCACACCAAGGACACCCCAACTCACTCTCCTCCAAGTCTCCAGCCACATGTAACCAAACCGACTGAACGTTCCATGTTTCATAACCCCACAAGCAATCAAAAGGGGTCCTCTGCTAGACTTTTACCTCATTCTGACTTTCCTAAGCACTCATTGTAGCTGCTACCAAGAAACTAGTAAAAGTGCCAACCTCTCCCTAGGCTGGGGGAGGCAAAATGAGCCATTTTTAGCTTGTAAGATAAGTGCTTAATCATACAAAGTACAAGAGCACTGTCCATTTACAGGGATCCCTCAAAACCGTCTCCCCACCCACCTCTCTCCTGGGAATTACATTTAGATATTGAATCAGAACTGTGACTAAATTTACCACTACTTACAGCTGCATGTACTGTGACACTACCTTGCTAATTTTATTGATTCTATTTAAAGTGCTCAATTATTAAATCAGCTGCATTCTTGTTCTCTGAAGACCACACCCTAAAAAGGAGGAAGAATGTGAGGATCTGCAGAGCTCATCCACTTTCCTTGAATCAGCTAAACAAAGAATATTGCTGCTACACAACCAAATTCCACAAACCACAATTAACCACTCCTCAGGTAAAAGGGGATGTGTTTCATTTTACAGAAATAGGATAAAAAAATAAAACTAAGGCTGGACTGACAATCTAGCATTTGCAATAATGCAAGAATTTCATGTCTGTTTAAAAAGGAATTCAATGTGTTTCATCAAGTTTTCTCAACAAAGAAAAACTAGTACACTGTAAGAAGCATTTTCAAATCAAGTAAATTATGGATTATTTCGGAGTTCAGTTTCTGAGTCCATTTTATATGAAGAATTAACACTAAAAAAAACTGCCGGCTATAGTCCTAAGGAAATACATTCCAGGAGCACACCAAAAGCACCAAAATCATAGACCATTCATATCTGTGTATGGCCGAGTCAAAGAGCCTGGCACAGAAAAAGGACTTAAACTAAAAAATAACCGCTAAAACTGAGTGGATACGCTGTGACACCTCCACACAACAGAACACCAGTCAGGAAGGGGAAAAAGCACTGAACTGTTTGTTAATACCAGCAACGTGAACTCAATGGAGCATCTCAAAAACAGGCAAAGTGGAAGAAGCCAGTCACAGAAGGCTCCACGTTATACGGCTCTATTTGCTAAATTAAAAAAACAAAAAACCATACATACAACAATCAAATCAGTACTTGCCAGGGGCAAGGGTGAGGGGATAGATATATCTTACTTAGTAACAAAGTGTCAAATTCAACCTATACAACTTAAATGAATGATCTTTACTGTATGCAAATTATACTCCCAGAAACTGGAATTTTCCAAGAAATGAGCTTCAAGTAATATTTCAAAATTCCCTGTTTGGGTGAAACCTAGTGCAATTCCAGACGATGTTCAAAACTCTCCAATAGTAACGGATGCCAAAAGTCAAAATTTAAGCAAATCAGCTACATAAAATCAAAGTTGACCACTGGGACACCGTTTAATCGTTCCCCTTTTTTCTCAGTAAGCCTGGACTACTAGTTCCTCATTCCCTGAAATTAACATTCCATTCACCAGTTTAATCTTACATTCTCATATTACCATCCCAAAAAACTGCAAGATCTACCCAGGAAATCCAAAATAAAGGACTTTTTCCCCTAAAGAATACTATCTTAATTTGCTCATTCTTACACAAGAAGGAAAATCTGAGAATCAAGTCTGCTCCACAGATTGTTTCAACCTAGTTTGAGAATTCTGAAATGCACAAAGCTCTATTGCAATTATCAGCAGTTTCTAGCCGTTTAAAAGCACTTAATTACATTTTTACTAAGATTAACACTCAAATTCAATTCCTTTTCCCACAGAAACCTTGCCAAAAATCAAACCCAAATTTCCAAATCTTCAAAAATCGAGTAATACACAAAATCTAAACCCATTGTTACTGAGAGTGCAATGGCCAAGAATATTCAGGCACGTATGGGGGGCGGGATTAACTGCATAAAGGGACTACCAAAAAACACAAATCAACTCAAACTGATCAGATTTCCTACCTACAATGAGATGTCAAATAGAAGGTTAGCTCTGAAAGCAAATATTTGATGCAGTTGCTAGGGAATAACAGCATGTTCATGTGAGCACAGATTATTCCAACTAGCTAGTTTCCAATGCACCTAAATGCAAGGCCTGCAGGAAACTGCCCTTCACGAGATCCTTTTCCAGAAACAAGTGTCCCTCCCACCTCTGTCCTTGAGACAAACTCTTCTTCCCCGGATGCCCAAACAGCACGTCTGGACGGCTGGAGTGCTGGGCCTCTCAACTTGGGCACTGCTGCCATTTGGAATCTAGGGTAGGGATTGGTAGGCGGTCTCACGCAAAGCAAGCCTCCTGTCAGTGATGACATTAGCGTGCCCCTTGCAGGCGTGCTCAGTCGTGTCCAACTCTGTGGCTCTATGGCTCCTGCCAGGGTCTTCTGTGCATGAGGATTTTCCAAGCAAGAATACTGGAGTGGCCTGCCATTTCCTTCTCCAGATCTTCCTGACCCAAGAACTGAAGCCGAGTCTCGTACGTCTCCTGCATCTGACCACTGAGCCATCGGGGAAGCCCCCTAGAGTACCCCAGACACCGCCAAATGCGAGCGAGGGAGCCAAACGACCCCAGATGAGACCCCGTTATCTGGAGATGACATAACACCAGCGGAATCCTCCAGTTGCAAGCTGAAACTTAAGTGGCTGGATTCAGGGGCAAGAAATACTCCGGCGATCGAGACCGAGGCGGCCCTTGCACTCAGAACACCCGACTGAAACCCGGACGCAGGCTGCCCTCTCCCCCCCCTTCCCAGTCAACGGCAAGGCCGCAGGTTCTCTTTACCTTTGTAGAGGTTCGTGACGGCGGTAGCTGCGTTTTGGAAGGGAACCCACAGAGAAAGTCCTGGCTGCTGACACACCCGGTCTGAAAAAGGACGAAAGAAGAGGGAGAGGAAAAAAAAAAGACACACACAGAAACACACAAAGACAGAGAAAGAGAGAACAAGCGATGAAACTTGGGCGTCAATCACTCGGGAACGGCCATATTAGGTTTCGCCATTTTGTTCAAGTTTCGGGATCCCGCGCGGGGTGGTGGGCCCGACGAGAAGGGGGGGGCTCGGCGGCGGGGTGGCCGGGGTAGCAGCCGGACCTCCGGGCGGAGGGCGAGGGGGGCGCAGCCCGAGGCCGAGGCGCGGCGGAGGGAGGCGGCCCCTCGCAGTCCCCGCCCCGAGGCCGGCTGCGGCACAATAGGGCCCCGGGGCCTCCTCCCTTCGCCATTTTGTGACCGGGGGCTCCTCCCTCGCCCTCCCCGGCCCCGGGGACGGGGGGCGCCGGCGACCCGGCCTCAGAAGCGGGCAGGGGACCCGCTTTCCCGAGCCCCGCCGGGGAAGCGGCCCCCAAGCCGACTTTGTAGAGCTGGGCCACGGCGGTGGCCGAGTTCTGGAAGAGGTGCCACAGCTTCTGTTGCTTGTGCTCGGGCTGCGCGGCGGCCGCCGCCTCCTCCTGCAGCTCCGGGGGCAGCTGCTCGTCCTGCTCGGCCTCGGCCAGGCACTGCCGCTCCCACTTGGAGAACCAGTGCTCGGGCCCATGCTCCTGGATCTCGGCCTCGCCCTCCTCCTTCCGCTCCTCCATCCTCCGCGGCCTTCCGCGGCCTCGCAGCCGCCGCGGCCGCGTCCTCCTTAGGCGGGGCCCCCGCGGGAGCGTCGTCGTCGAGCGGCCGTGCTCCTGGATCTCGGCCTCGCCCTCCTCCTTCCGCTCCTCCATCCTCCGCGTCCTTCCGCGGCCTCGCAGCCGCCGCGGCCACGTCTTCCTTAGGCGGGGCCCCCGCGGGAGCGTCGTCGTCGAGCGGCCCGGCGGCGGGGCCCAGCGACCAGCGGCGGCGGCTCCTCGCGGCGGCCAAGGCCTCCTGCACCCCGACGGCCTACGAGCCCCGCCCCGTGGCCCCGCGCTGCCCGAGACGACCCCCTCCCCGGGCCGCCCCACCCCCGGGCCCTGCCGAAGGTCGCCGCGGACCGGATCAACGCCGCTTCCCCTTGCCTCGCCAGCCCAAGCCCGTCTACCGCCCAGCCATGGCGCCGCGGCCTCCCTAGGGCCGCTGCCGCCGCTAACCGCCTAGCCCTGCGCGCAGACCGGCTTGCGCCGCCGAGCCCACCCCGAAGACTAAGGAACGTCGTCGTCGCCGCCGCCGTCGACGCCTCTGCGGCTGCTGGTCTCCGCCCTCCCCCGCCCACATGCTGACTGGAGGAAGCACCGCCCACTCGGCCCCCGGCCCCCCTGCCCGGTTGGGGCGCGCCCGCTCCAAGGGCCCCCATTGGTCCGATCCAACCGGTTCCGCGTGCCAGCCTATGAATGCAGCGCCGTGATTGGTTAGTCGGCCTGTCCGCCTGACGTAACCAAAGGGCGGGGGGAAGGGAGTGAATGTCAGGACGATGAAGGAGGGGGAGGAGCTGACAGTGGTTGCGTCCGAGCCTACCAAAAAAAGGGGGGGGAGAGAAGTGCGCATGCGCATAGGCCTTCTGCCCAAAGCCAGCCGACAGGAGTCACGTGACCCGGCTCCGCGACCGCACCCCGCGGGGGCTTTTCCGGCGCTTCCACGCCCCAGGGGACGCAAAATCAAGTCTGGTGATCGCGCCGCTGGGACGGAGGGGTGTGGTGGGGTGGTGGCCCGCTACTCCAGCCCCTTGGGCTTCCAGGAGGAGGGAAATGAAAGTGAATTAGACGCCTAGCTCGAGGCCAGATTTGCAAAGCGCTTTGCCAGCTGTTCATTTCAAACACCCATTTCTTAGATAGACAAGCTGAGCCTCAGCGTTCAAATAAAGAGAGAGAAACTTCTCGAGTCGCGAGGCCCGCGGGCCCTCCCACCGGCCTGCCGGGCGTCCAGGCCTCCGGGCCGCCCCCAACCAAAGCGCGCCCCCCTCCCCGAAGGCGCCAGCCTCCACCCCACCCCGGGGCCACTGTCCCAAAACCAGACCGCTGCGGCCGCGAAGCCGAGAAAATCCCTGGGCGGGAGCCTGAGTGCCGAGCTGGCGGCCCCCGCACCTGTCCCGAGCGGCACACTCCTGGCCACGTGCGGCCGCCTGCGTCACGCGCCAGTCCCCCCGCCGCCTCCGGCTGGAATCCACGTCCCGCGCCGAGTGGGAGGCCCCGCTTCCAGGGGGAAAGTTCTGCGCAGACTTCAGGTTCAGCTGTGCTCCATTGCCCCAGGCACCTTCCGCCGAGCCGGGCTGCGCGCTTTGGTTACCGAGCCGCGGTGGGGGGGGCGGGTGCGTCCCCAGGGGTCTCAGGACTTAGGGGAGAAGCAACGCTATCAAGGGGTGTTGACGGCACAGAGGCAAAGCTGACCGTCACACGCTGGCGGCGCAGGAGCATGAGCCACTGGGGCTTGGAGAAGTCCCACGAGCTGCCAGAACGCCCTTCTACAAGCAAATTTGGCTGTAAAGCCATCACCTTGGGAATAAAATCAGTGAGCAATCTCCTCACTGTGGGCCACAAGTCCCTGAAGGATCGGGCCCCGCCTCCTCTGTGTTCATCTCCGCGCTCCCCTCCGCTTGGCCTGGGCCGCCCAGCCGCACTGACCTTCTTTCCGTTTCCCCGGAAACTGCCTTTGCCCTCACAGTTCCCTGTCTTTCTGGGATCTCTTCCTCCTTGTCGTCATTCCTCAAGACTCCTCGCAAATGGCCTGGAAGCAGAGAACCCTCGACAGACCGGCCTCGTTAAAGTACCATTCCCTTCACTCTCCTGTGGCCTGGTTTTGTTTTTTCATAGCCTGTATCAGTATCTGAAATGTGTCTCTTTTCACCGAAAAGTTAAGTTCTTAGAGGGCAGGCATCTTGGCAGTCTTGTTCCTGATTGAATCTTAAAAGATAAGTAGAATTCAGAAAGAGGGAGGGGTGGAGGTCAGGGCGGAAAGGACAAGCCCGGCAAAAGTAAGGATTATAGAGAAATCCCAGGTTTCTTTAGGCCAACCAGAATGGAAGGGAGCAGCAGCTAGGGCCCTTTGTCCCCTTAGTATTAGAGGCACACAGCCTAGGGTCTGCTTTGTACAAGCACTACAAAAACAATTTATTGATTCTATAGTATTAAAAAATTTTTTTAATGCAATAGGAAGAATTTTCAGTTATTTTTACAGCAAATCATCATTGTCTTTATCATATGAACGTACTGTAGTGTTTTTTGTGATAATTGAGATTTTTCTGGGATCTTAGGTGTATCTCTCTAACACTGGAGACCAGGCTACTGGCAAATGATTCTTTTCAGTCTAAACTGTCTTTTTAAAAACCTAAGCAACATAATTATGCATCGACACCTGGGGTACAGGCTTCCCAGGTGGTTCAGTGGTAAAGAATCTGCCTGCGGATGCAGGAGACTTGGTAAGATCCCTGGGTAGGGAAGATCCCCTGGAGTAGGAAATGGCAATCCATTCAGGTATTCTTGTACTTCCGAGTAGCTCGGTTGGGCAAGAATCTGCCTGCAATGCAGGAGACGAGGGTTCGACCCCTGGGTCGGGAAGTATGCTGGAGAAGGAAATGGCAACTCACTCCAGTACTCTTGCCTGGAGACTTCCTTGGACAGAGGAGCCTGTCGGGCTACAGTCCATGGGATCCCAAAGAGTTGGACACGACTGTTGTCCAACTGTGTGGACACTAACTTTTCCAGTATTCTTGCCCGGATAATCACATGGACAGAGGAGTCTGGCAGGCTACATGTTCCATGGAGTTGAAGAGTCAGACCCAACTGAGCATTCTCACACTATTTAGTGGGTGCTCCTAGTCAATCTGCAAAAGCTGTGGGGCGAAGCTCAGAAGCCACCGCTGTGAAAAACGGCCAAATGTGCCAAATGCTGTTTGCCAACGATGAGAATCAGGGAGGGCTTCCGGGGTTTGGGGGGTGGAACACTTTCATCTAAGCCATGTAGCACAGGCAAGGCTCAGAAGGGAGAGGCCCCTCAGAGTGGGGGGGGGGGGGGGACACATAGCTTCAGAGGCACAGAGATGGAAAAGGCTCCAGGAACCAGGAATGATCTGGTTTAACCTGAACCGCTTTCTCTGTCTGATGATGGTGAGATGGTGCCATCTCATTTGGCTTTCTAAATAATTGTACAGGCACTTCCTAGCTGAGTATCCTTGGGCAAATTAAGTCTCTCAGAGCATGATAAATGGCGGTGATCTCAGAAAGTCGTAGGGTTAAGAAAAGAGAGGTAAGAAAATCTCAGGATTAAAGGATAATTGAAGAAAGTACTGAGTCCATGATCCCAACAGATTAAATTACTAAACAAAAACTAGCACTCAAGGGGCCTGCCTGGGAGAAAGCTCCTGGATTAGCCTCAATCCTTGGTATTAGGAGGCTGTATAGCCACAAAAAATGTGACATCTTTCAACTAAGATCCGGTGACTTCACATACATTTAATGTATTAATACCTATAAGGAATTCCCTGGTGGTTCAGTAGTTAAGACTTGGCGCTTTCGCTGCCAGCGCCCTGGGTTCCATCCCTCCTTGGGGAACTAAGACCCACCCAAGGCACATGGCAAGGACCAAAAAAAGTATTTAGAACTGGACGGCTCAAGAAAATGTGGATTAATGTATACTTTCAGTTTTAACATCCAGACTTTGAAGTATGTGTTTAAAAACTTTTTGATATAAAAGTTATATTTTCAACTTGTGAAACCTATTTTTTGTTTCCCATTTTGTATCTTGGACCTCTTCTATGAATAGTCACCTCATTCCTCTTATTGACATTCACATAGCGTCGCATGGTAATACATAGAACAGTTCTCTGTAAAGGACATCTAAGTTTTCGGTGTTTTCATACAGTAACATTTACTCAGCACACTCATTCAATTACTTTCTTTGTGTAAATTTCCTAAAACAGAATCACTTGGTGAAAGCAAGTGTGTTTTTCTGTATTCACTGGTTTTGTTATTACAATTATGATTTTTAACAGGTTTCCTAGTGGTGGAGATTGAGATTGTGACAGTCTTTAGCTATTGTAAACAATGTTGCAGCAAATATCCTTCCATGTGTGTATATGTATGTCTGTGTAAATATATATCTTCAGAAATAACTTTGGGGTCAAAGGTGTATGAGTTAAAAACTTTATAAGAAACTTCAAAAATGCCCTTTAAAAAAGCAAAGTAGTTGGCACTGCCTTCCATAGTATATCTGTGCTGTGTTTCTATCTATAGTATTATAGATAGTACTATCTATAGTATTATAAAAAAAAGTTTCACTTTGCTCATCAAATAAGTGAAAAAGGTGTCCCTTTGTAGTTCTACTTTGATTAGCCCAGTTTCCCAGTTTGTTAGTGGCTTTTTTTTTTTGTCTATGCTTTTCTACTTTTCATGTGTTGCAAATATTTTTAAATAAGCAAATCTTTTAAATCTTCTGAGTTTTGGGAATTCCCTGGCAGTCCAGTGGTTAGGACTCCATGCTTTCGCCTCTAAGGACTTGGGTTCAACCCCTGGTTGGGAAACTAAGATCCCAAAGCCTCACTGCATGGCCAAAAAATTAAAAATAGAATAAAGCATCTGTGTTTTGCATAAGGCTTTCTACATTCCAAGATTGTTAACATGGTTGAATTAAAACTGCAACAGCAGTCCATCTTTTTCCTCACCTGTTTTGACTACCGAACAAT